AAAAAAAAAAAAAGACAAAAAAGACAAAACGCGGCCGCCGCCCAGATCCTGTGCGGCTGTGAGGGGCTCTTCTCGCCGCTGCCGCCCGGGCCGGGCACAGGTTTGGGCGCCGGGCCAGCCTCGCCTGTCTGCAGGTGCCCAGGGTAAAGGCAGCAGGAATGCTAACGCTGGCAAGCACACTGAAGCGCCATGGTGGTCTCAAAGGGTCCCGGACGTCAGCCACAGCATCCGACTCCACTAGGAGGGTTTCTGTGAGAGACAAGTTGCTTGTTAAAGAGGTTGCAGAACTTTAAGCTCATTTACCTTGTCCTTAAATGTAAAGTGCATTTTCCTGATCCAAACCAGCTTCGTTGCTTTCAACTAACTGTAACCCCAGATGAGGGTTACTCCCAGGGTGGAAAGTTTCCGTTTGAAACTGAAGTCCCCCAAGCGTACAACATGGTGCCTCCCAAGGTGAAATGCTTGACCAGGATCTGGCACCCCCACATCACAGAGACAGGTGAAATTTGCCTAAGTTTACTGAGATAACACTCCATCCACGGCACTGGCTGGGCTCCCACACGAACACTGAAGGATGTTGTTTGGGGTGTTTACTGATCTTTTGAATTTTGATGACCCACTGAACATTGAGGTTGCAGAGCATCACCTGCGGGACAAGGAGGACTTCCGGAATAAAGTGGATGACTACATCAAGCGCTACACCAGATGATGACGAGGACGCGTGCAGGCCCATGGACTGGACGCGGCTTGTCTCCAACGTGAAGCAGCAAGAGGCGGCCCCTCCGCTCCCGTCCTCAGGCTCCCTCAGCCCCTCTGGATCGTCCCGGCCCTGTGCCCATGTTGTCCGAAGGAGATCATCTTCATGACTGCCCATTGTAGATGGAGAGTTCAACGTAAACCCAGCAAGAACACGTGTCTGGGCTTCTAAAGAGTTGTCTGCTTACCTTAACAAGTTTACTTTTTTGAAATTGTACTGTATAGGTTGTTGGTGAAATTCTTGAGAAGTTGTAATGAACTCAAAATTGAAGCTACAGCTTGCTTACCCTTTCCCCAAACAAAACTGGTTTCCTGCACAGGTGACGCTAATGATGTGTTCAGTGTAACTTGCAGATTGGCAATAAGAAACCCGCTACAAACTGTGATTGGATGCAAAAAAAAAAAAAAAAAAAAAAAAAAAAAGACAAAACCCGGGCTCAGCCCGGACTCGAAGAACTTTCGGCTCCGGGTCGCAGGTCGGCTCTCGGCACGCGACTGCGGCTGCGCAGAGCGCAGGGCGGGGCGGAGCTAACCCCGCCCCCGGAAGCGGGGCAGAGCCGGCGAGTGGGCGCGGGTGGGCGAGCGCGGCGCGGCGGGGAGGGGCGGTGGCGCCCGGGTGGGGGTGAGCCGGCCATGGAGGAGGAACAGAGCTTCTCGGATATCTACGGCGGTCGCCTAGCCCTGCAGCACCGCTACTACTCCCGGTCCTGCAGGGAGTTCTGCCTCAGCTGCCCTCGCCTTTCGCTGCGTTCGCTCACCGCTGTCACCTGCACCGTGTGGCTGGCGGCCTACGGACTCTTCACGCTCTGCGAGGTAAAGGCTGGTCGGCCCCTCCCCGAGCTCGCAGCCTGGGGGTTCGGCTTCGCTAGGGTCTTTTGGGTCTTGGGTGATGTCTGGACCTTTAGCTGGACTCTCCTACAGTGGTAGGACCTGAGAGCGGGAACTCGCTGGTGTTGGGCAGGCCATGAGGCTGCTGGACAGCTCTTTTCATTACATTTAGTGAAGTTTGTGCTCCTGCCGTACATTCTCCCTCTCCTGGCCGCTGCCACGTTCTGTGGATCTACCAGCATACATCCAGTTATTGCACGACAGTCTAAAACTTTTACTACTGTGTGCTGTGTTTACTGCACCATCGGTTATTTAATTCCAAGAGTTCAAAGATCTGTTTGGTGGGTCGTCCCCCTCATCCATCACTTGTATGTCTCAGAGGTTATTACTGCTAACAGTACCTTACATACTCTTCCACAGATTGTCTTTGATTCCACGGGAGTGCGTGTATGTGTATAGATATGTTATAGTTCTTCCTAATCGCTGTTTTCCAAGGTAATTTAACCAACCCTCCCCCCTCCTCCCAGACCCTTCCCCAATTTCAAGTATTTTCTGAAGAATTATGAAGTTTTTGACATCCGTGGTTTCTGTGCTCAATTTCCTGACTCATTCCTATTTTCTCCGAGCTTTAGTTTTCATAACTCTAAAATGGAATTAATATCTGCCATATCAGCTTCACTGGTCAAATGCAGTAACTTTGTGACAGCCCTTAAATAGAATTGTCCCAGTTGCCCTTTTCAGGATGAGTTCTAGTTCCATCTGTAGAGCCTGAATTGAATATGTTATCCCAGGAGTGATCTGAGCAGAGCTCAGTATAACAGGGCTGTTCTTTTAATGTTTGTAATTTGAATATTGCTTCCATTACTTCATCCATTAGGTTTTTGCTATCAAAGCATATTTCAGAGCATGGTGATTTAGCATTGACATATGCAGAATTAAGACTACCTAATTAATACAAAATTGTATCTAAAAGTTTGTTGATAAATCAGTTAAAATGATTAAGTTGACAGTTCCCTAAAATTTAATTTGTAATATAGTTGAAGTTTATGATAACATAATACTAGCCTGAGTTCTAGCATTGTACGTAGTCATGGGAGGAGGAGGGAACAGATATTTACTACATCTCTCAAGTGCTTTACTGAATTCTTTACTTCAACTGTAGGAGAAAACCAAGGTTCAGAAAGAATAATAACTTATCCAAAGTCCCAAAGTTATTAAGTGGCAGATCCTGGCTTCAAATCCAGGCTATCTGACCCTGAAACCCTTCCTTTTACTTTATACCAGGCGTCCTCAAACTATGGCCCACGGGCCATATGCAGCCCACCTAGGACACGTATCCTGCCTGCCAGGTGTTTTTGCTGCCACTGCCTGTCCTGCTTAGCAGCCAACTCGTCCCGGGGCCTGCCGTCTGGCCCTCCAACGGTCTAAGAGACAGTGAACTGGCCCCTGTTTAAATAAAAAAGTTTGAAGACCCCTGCTTTATACTATAGTATAGCTGATTTTAGGCAAAATTTTCAAGTAGAAGTTAATTTTCATGCCAGTTCAGTTCTGTCTTTTATCTATCTCATCCTGGTGTACCCTACTTATCCCCATCAAGTGTCTAGAACTCAGTGACCTCATCCTCCTTTAAACTCCCCGGCAACACTTTCTGAGGGCCCTATGTATCACAATTTATCTTTCCTCCTATTCAAAACTATTCCCAAGAGTAATAAATATCTGGAGTGGGAAGAAATCTGATTGAAAAGATTTATTCAAACATGGGCTAAACTCTAACCCAAATGAATAGTAAATTGTTATAATTCCAGACAGAGAAATGATGTAGAAAATAATGCAGAACTTGCCCAAGAGTTTGAGGTTGCTGTGAGCTGTGACACAACAGCACTCAACCCAGGGCAACATAGTGAGACTCTGTCTCAAAAAAAAAAAGAAAATCATGCAGGTAGTAGTGAAGGTTTAGGCAAGGATTATCTTATTGAAAAGCTGACAGGGATCTGATCAAGCATTTATTGCTTTTCATCCCTTCATTCCTTCCTGTTTTTGAATTCACAGTTCTATTATTTTTTGTTTGTTTGTTTGAAACGGGGTCTCACTCTATTGCTGAGCTACAACGGTGTGGCATCCTTATAGCTCATTGTAACCTCTCAGCTTCCGGGCTCAAGCAGTTCTCCTATCTGAGTAGCTGGGACTATAGGCGTGTACCAACGCATTAGTTTTTCTATTTTTTGTAGAGAAGAGGTCTCGCTCTTTCTCAGGCTGGTCTTAAACTCCTGACCTCAAGCTGTCCTCCTGCCTTGGAGTCACAAAGCGCTTTGTTTACAGATGTAAGCCACCACACTTGGGCCACAGTTCTGTTAAAGGTTCCAGGTTTTTACCTTATTTATTCCAACCTGGAATATTCTTCCCCTTTTATTTTTTTTTGAAACAGAGTCTCACTATGTTGTCCTGGGTAGAGTACTGTGACATTCCAGCTCACAGCAACCTCAAACTCTTGGGCTTAAGTTTTAACTCTTGCCTCAGCCTCTCAAGTAGCTGGGACTATAGGCACCCACCACAATGCCTGGCTATTTTTTTGTTGCAGTTGTCATTGTTGTTTAGCTGGCCTGGGCAGGGTTCAAACCTGCCAGCCTCCGTGCATGTGGCTGGTGCTGTAACCACTGTGCTACGGGTGTGAGCCTTCCCCTTTTCAACTAAGTTCATCCATCAGTAACCACCACCTTCTCTGCACAAATTAAATCTTCTTTCCTTGGAAGTCATGGGATAGTCCTCTGTGCTTTAATATCTTTCTTTCTCTCTTTTATTTAATTTTTCCTTTGGCACTTAAAGTCAGTATCATAGTATCATCCAGAATACTTTCTATGTATTAATTTTGCCTGTAATAAAGCTATAAGGACCAGGAATGAATTTTATTCCTTTCCATTCTTCCATAATGTTTACTTAGTTCAGATTATGTACAAGACACTGTACCATATGAGGCAGCTGATTAACTCAAAGTTGATCTTTCTGGATCATAAGAAACTTAGCACTGAAGCCTTGGTTTATCAATGAACAAACAGCTATCTAGCACAGATGTCAGCAAATGTTTTCTTTAGAAGGCCAAATAGTAAATATTAGATTTTATTGGGCTCTGGCTCATATTCTTCTTTTTCTTTCTTTCTATGACCCTGTTTAAAACAAAAAAAAAATTTAAAAAATCATTTTTTGCTCAGGGTGGACCAAACAAAAAGCGAATCTTATTGTGGTTGTACAGAAGTAGCAAGGTATTGTCAAAACCAGAGCTAGTCAATAAAGTAGTAAAAACAGATTTTATTCAGAAACTCCTACAATAGGGGAAAAGATACTTCAGTATAGAATTCGAATTCCTTAATTCCAAATACAGCATGAACAGGAGGGGATTTATAGCCAAGGAGCAGGATGGGAGTCAGTGGTTGGAAAATTAATTAATTTTAAAAAGGAAAACCAGTGGTAAGGTGGGATTCTGGCTAAACTGACATGATAGGAGTTTTGCTATAGGCAGGCCAGAGACATCATATAGCAAGGGTTGGAGTTCTCCCTAAACAGACTGCAAGATTCTTTGCAACTGAGTGGGCAAGGCAGTGTCAACAAAGAGCTCATGGGTTGGGGCCTACAGGGCTTCGAGGAGCCTGACTAGGATAGGTTAAGGAGGGTGTTTTGTCAGTACAAAGAATAAAACAACTTCCTGCCCTCAAGGAATGCAGTCCAGAATTACTGAATTTCCTTCATTCTAGATCATCAATGATTTTTTTTTCTTTACCAGCCTTCTGGGAAAAAATAATGGCTTCTGGGGAAAAAAGAAGAGAAAACAATGCTACCTGAGAAAAACACCAATAGAAGAACATGTTTCAACTTCAGAATGTTAAAATGTTCCAAATCAGTGGTTCTCAACCTGTGGGTCATGACCTACAGAATTGTATTAAAGGGTCGCGTCATCAGGAAGGTTGAGAAACACTGTTCTAAATCTGTCTTAGCGTCAAGGATATAAATTATAGACATCATTTTTTGAGCCTTCAACACATACATCATTTAGTCACTGGCAACTACAAGTAACAGAGGATCTGGAAGAATCGCAAGTGATAAGGACCTTTATTTTATTGTTTGTTTATTTATTTATTTTGAGGCAGAGTCTCACTTTGTTGCCCTGGGTAGAGTGGCATGGCAACCTAGGGTCACAGCAACCTCCATCCAGCTCATGGGCTTAAGTGATTCTCTTGCCTCAGCCTCCCAAGTTGCTGAGACTACAGGCACCTGCCACAGCGCCCAGCTATTTTTTTGTTGCAGTTTGGCCGGGGCCAGGTTTGAACCTGCCACCCTTAATATATGGAGCTGGCACCCAACTCACTGAACCACAGGCGCTGACCCTTATTTATTTATTTATTTATTTTTAAGACAGAGCCTCAAGCTGTCACCTGGGTAGAGTGCCATGGTGTCACAGCTCACAGCAACCTCCAACTCCTGGGCTTAAGTGATTCTCTTGCCTCAGCCTCCCAAGTAGGTGGGACTCCAGGCACCTGCCACAACGCCCGGCTATTTTTTGGTTGTAGTTGTCATTTTTGTTTAGCAGGCCCAGGCTGGATTTGAACCCACCAGCTCTGGTGTATGTGGCTGGTGCCTTAGCTGCTTGAGCTACAGGCGCTGAGCCTATTTATTTATTTTTGAGACAGGGTCTCACTGTCATCAGGCTAGAGTGCAGTGGCATCATCATAGTTTACTGTAACCTCCAATCTTGTGATCCTCCTGCCTCAGCCCCCCTAGTAGCTGGGACTGAAGGCAGGGACCTTTATTATTAACAGAACAGTAAGTCATGAAATGTTCTTCTCATCTGTTCAACTCAAAACAGAACAAAGGCTTTTTCCTCATTGCCTAGAGATGACCTGTTATAAAGCACAGATATATGTGGAGGACCACTTGGTAATCTTACTGCCTGTGTCTGGCTCTCTCTTCAGAACAGCATGATCCTCTCTGCTGCCATCTTCATCACCCTCTTAGGCCTCCTTGGTTACCTCCATTTTGTGAAGATTGATCAGGAGACTCTGTTAATCATTGATTCCCTGGGCATCCAGATGACTTCATCCTATGCTTCAGGCAAAGAAAGCACTACTTTTATAGAGATGGGCAAGGTCAAGGATGTTATCATTAATGAGGCTATTTACATGGTAGGTATTTAAGAAGTAAGTATTAATATTACAGGCCTCTCTGGAGGAAGTAGCTAACTCATGGGGTGTTCCAGGAGTAAACACTGTACATAGAGTGAGGGCTCTCTGTTCCAATAGTTCTTTTCTTTTTGGCTGGTATATCTGCAAACCATAGAAGTGAAACTTGTACAGATAAATTCCTTTATTTTTAAAGAGATGACACAGGTTTTCATGGATGGGGAGTCAGCATTTCAACTTTGTCTTGTATCCCAGCTTCAGAATCATCTCTGGTTTGTTTCACCTTTTCTTTCTTTTTTTCATTTTTGGTCTTTTGTTCATTTAAAGAAACAATGTACTTCTCCCCCACTTTCAAAAGCTGTTATGTGTTCTACTTCTCAGACATCACTATTTATGAAAAAGTATTGTACCTTAACTTGAAGGAAAAGAAGGCAAAATGAGTTTCACTTAGATCCCTGCTGTTGGGTTTTTTTCTTCTTACAGCAGAAGGTGATTTACTACCTCTGCATTTTATTGAAAGATCCAGTGGAACCAAATGAGATATCCCAAGTAGTACCTCTCTTCCAGGTGAGCATAGAAACTACCTTTCTTCACGAAACCCTCTGCCTTTTCCTCCTCCTGAATATCCACTGCCACTTCTGTTCAGTAGGAATGTAAACTTCTGTTGTTTGTGTTGGAGATAACTGATAGCTATCTTTGGTGAGAATTAGGATTTTAGTTATTTCATAAATTCCTCTCTGAAGCAAATGGAGACTTTCAGAAATATTCGGAGTTAATGCAGATTTTTTATCTTATATTATTTTTGAGACAGAGTTTCATTATGTCACCCTTGGTATAGTGCCGTGATGTCACAGCTCAAAGCAACATCAAACTCTTGGGCTTAAGCGATTCTCTTGCCTCAGCCTCCCGAGTAGCTGAGACTACAGGCACCCGCCACAATGCCTGGCTATGTTTTGGTTGTAGTTGTCATTGTTATTTAGCTGGTCTGGGACGGGTTCAAACCCACCAGCCTCGGTGCATGTGACTGGCACTGTAACCACTGTGCTACAGCTGTTGAGCTATGTTGCTAGCTTTTTTTTTTTTTTTTTTTTTTGCAGTTTTTGGCCAGGGCCGGGTTTGAACCCACCACCTCCAATATATGGGGCCAGAACCCTACTCCTTTGAGCCACATCTGCCGCCCCCATATTGCTAGCTTTTTAAATCATGCTCAGGTCATTTTTTATTTTGTTCTTACAAAAGACATTTATACAAATAGGATTATAATAAATTATTTTCTAGGTAGATATGTACATATTTATATGTACAGTTAATCCTGCCTCACTGCCCTTCCTTTTCAAAGGATTTAAGACAGCTAAGATAAAAAATTTATTTTGCATTATTCTTCAAAATTATTAATGCTTATAAGTAGTTGTATAGATTTTTAGTGTATGAGATTGACCTTCAGAGATTGGACTTTACCAAACTTTTGGGAATTTGTACTTGTTTTTGTATAGTTTTGGCTCATGATGGAGTTAGCTGTTTTTTAGTTTAATACATTGGTTAAGGCATTTTAAAGTCATTAAATTTGGGGCATCGCCTTTGGCTCAAAGGAGTAGGGCACTGGCCCCATATACTGGAGGAGGTGTATGCCAAAAATTGCCAAAAAGAAAAAGTTATTAAATTTTTATCTCTTTAAATGATAGAATTTTCATATTTCCTTATGTTATCTATCAATATTTCCTTTTATTTTAAATTATCCATCTTTTCTTTTCTCTCTCTTTTTTCTTTTTTTTTTTTTAGACAGAGCCTCAAGCTGTCCCCCTGAGTAGAGTGCTGTGGCATCACAGCTCACAGCAACCTCTAACTCCTGGGCTAAAGTGAGTCTCCCGCCACAGCCTCCCAAGTAGCTGGGATCACAGGCGCCCGCCACAATGCCCGGCTATTTTTTTGTCGCAGCCATCATTGTTTGGTGGGCTCGGGCTGGATTTGAACCCGCCACCTTTAGGTGTATGTGGCTGGCACCTTAGCCACTTGAGCCACAGGCACCGAGCCTTCCATCTTTTCTATTAGCCAAATAGAATCTAAAGTAGATATTATACATTGCTAATAATTCTTTATATATTTTTAATAATTATTCATATATTTTGGGTACCAAATGTTTATTGAATATCCTTACCACATCTGTTTTCCCCCATTTTGTACCTTTTTTATTAATTTTGGTTGTGTTACATTTAATTGTACAAAATATTTTTCAGTATTTATGTATTAAACTGCCTTTGTCTCTAAGGATGAATTTTACAACTTGCAGCATTTCTGAAGAAGGTCAGTCCTTGTTTTTCTTTCTTTTTTTTTTGCAGTTTTTGGCTGGGGCTGGGTTTGAACCCGCCACCTCCGGCATATGGGACTGGCGCCCTACCCTTTTGAGCCGCAGGCATCATCCTTAATCCTTGTTTTTCATCTTGCTTGGTCTTAACTGATGGAGGTCCTAACATTTAGACAGATTAAAAAGCTGTCTTTTGATCTCTTGTCTTGCACAATTCACAGGCTGGGCTATGGGCCTAACTGGGACTCTTCCCAACAAGGTCCTCTGAGACCTGAACTTCTTACTTCTCTGAGCTCACCCATGTACCACTGAGACTACTTGATGTGGGTGAGAGATTGAGGTTGTATGTATATACAGCACCTTGAGCATTGTCTTATGTTCACCTTGACTCTTCATTTCTCCCCTTTGGAATTCAGAGTGCCAAGCCACGGCTGGACTGCTTGATTGAAGTGTACAGGAGCTGCCAGGAGATCCTGGCACACCAGAAAGACACATCAACAAGTCCATGAGTCCCAGCATTCAGAAAGCCAGTATTGTCTTCCGTGGGAGATGACTACTAAGCCCCAGTGGCTGGCTTATTTTCTGTACTCTGAACCATCCGCTGGACACAGCCCTAGGACATAGTGGATGTCAGCGCCATAGAGCAGGTGACTGGAAATCTAACTCAATGCTTCTTTTTATTATAGTGTTTCCCTTGTAAGGTTCTGCCCACTTTTCTAACAGGAGAGAGACCAAAAGTAATTTGGCAAAGAGCACTTTGTGAGATTCCTAAGCATATTCAAGTTTACTTTGTGTTGATATTTGTTGAGTTAGACAGGGGAAAACTGATACCAAATCTCTCAAGAAAAAGTATAATTTCCAATTGCACAGAACCGGTGTATAAAGTTAGGGAAAAAAAAAAAAAAGAAGCCCTTTTGGTACTTGTTAGCAGTACCTGTCCACCTCACTCCTGTGTTCTGTACAGGGTTGATTTCTTATGACTCTTAATAAACAGATCTTCCAAAACACACAGTAATTACCTGGTTCACAGACAGGTGCTTTTTATTGACAGACAAGATCATGGCATTTCAGTAATGGATGTCAAGCTCATTAACACTTTTCTGTTACTCAGCATTTTCTATTGTTTAAAAGCTGCTTTTTGCCAAGAGGGATGAGACAAAAGGCCAGAAAGAAATTTGACTTTGGTTTTCAGACATGGGACTTCCATGTTAAAGAAGAATAAATAAACAAACTATAGAAGCCTTTGTTTCTAAGGCAGTTTCTTCTGTATAATATTAATAAACTTAAGGGAAAATTCTAAAGGTTGGGAAGGAGAGTGGGGAAAATAATTTGACCCCCAAATTCAGTATGAGCACAGCTCTGTTTTTGCTTACTCTTCTTTGGAATCTTGGCTTTCTTTCCTGGGTAGATAATACATATTATCCGTATTGTCCTCAGAGACACTCAAGATGTTATAGACCAGAGCTGTAATCTCTTTTACACAAGCCCTGTGGGAATTATCCAGGACCCTGTGGCACACGTGACTTATTCGAGGTAGAAATATCAAGTTAGATCCCCAGATCCTGGGGTGAAAGATAGGTATAGAAATGGCTGTGAAACTATCTGCTTTACAGAGTCAAGTTCATTTTAAAAAGGCAGAGAATCTGATGTGCTTTTTTCATCGTGCTTATCAATTTTTTTTTTTTTTTTGAGACAGAGTCTCACTATGCCACCCTCAGTAGAGTGCTGTGGTGTCACAGCTCATAGCAACCTCAAACTCTTGGGCTTAAGCGATTCTCTCACCTAAGCCTCCCAAGTAGCTGGGACTGCAGGCGCTTGCCACAATACCCAGCTATTTGTTTGTTGCAGTGTCATTGTTGTTTAGCAGGCCCGGGCCAGGTTCGAACCTGTCTGCCTCAGTATATGGAGCCAGAGCCCTAACCACTGAGTTATAGGCACCGAGCCAGGCTTACCGAGTTTTAAAGGGTGAGAGAGCGGACACTCAAAGCAGCTGAGGTGTTCAGACAGACTAGTTCCCACCTTGCAATTTTTGCAGTGTGAGACATACACACATTGTTGAGGTGAAAGGCTTGGTTTTGGGGTGCTACTGCTAAACCCACACAGTTTTCAGCACTTTACTGACAAATGTTAAGGCTATCTTAGAGCTTTGAATTAAAACTCAGTTTCTCTGAGGTTGGAAAATCAGAGTATGAACTCTTTCGTTTTATTTTCTCCTGTTTGGGGAAGGCTTAGACAGAGATCATCTCTGTACTCAAGTCTGAGGGGGACTATCGTGTTATCAGATGCTCTTAGGCTAGAGCAAATACCACGTTATGTGCCCCCTGCCCTCAAACTAATTCCTAGCGAAGTTCGCTAGAAGTCTGTAAGAGCATATCCAGGCCTACCAGCCTGGGGCATCTTCTGTGTTCCTGACTCAGCTTGGTTGGTCTGACAGAGTCCTTTTGCTTGGTTTCCCAAAGAATGGGGAAACAAATCATGACCACATGTCCTACAGTAGTAAGCACAGCCTTTGCTGAGCCCCGTCCAGTGGTTAGAATGAGAGGGGAGGGGTCACATCAAACCTCCTCCATGTCCTTGCTTGGACACTGGTACTGGGTTTGGCTTATAATCCAGTGTGAGGGAAAAGAACTTGGATCTTAGTAGGGATAGTGTGTTGTCCTGGAAAGGTAAGAGCAGCTGCCCCAGAAGGGGCACTGCAAATGCCTACAAACCAATAACACAGAAAAGTGAGTCTATTCCTTTTTCTCCAGTCGTGCCAACACCTTTCCTATTGGGGAAAGGCCGTCCAGTTTTAGTGAGTTCTATGCTTTTGTCAGAGTTTAGGTGAATTAGAAATTTTACTCGTATTCCGTTCAAGGATGTTGAAAACTTCAAGTATAAATCTCCACGAGGACACATGCACATAAAAAATATTAGCTTCCTTGAGAGTGTCAGTGCAGAAAGCCCCAATTACAGCACTGATGCTCTCAGTAACAGTAGACCATCCCTGTCTATGTCTAGAAATCAGGTAGCATCTAGAGTCATTATTCTTAAGAAAAAAAAAGAGTAAGTGGTTTTTACATTGGGTCTGGATTTTTAAAATCCCTGAAACCATTGTAAGGCACCTAGAGGGTAAAGGTTTCAGAGACAATGAAGTACACATTCCACAGAACAAACAGGGGCTGTTAGACCCATCACAGTAGTGTCATACCCCAGGATATACAGTCTAATCCCAGAGGCATCAGTGGTGGTGGGGAAAGGGAGAGAAATATTCACAGCAATGTTGGCCCCTTTGTAGCACGGGGAACTGAAGCAAAGAGCTGTTGTCCATCCAGGTCCCACAGCTGACGGGCTACAGGTGGGTTGGTGGATGGGTTCACAGTTGCAGAGCAGTGGTTCATGTAGCTGGCCATGATGAAAGTAGCTTCTGCAATCTAAGGAGAAGTCAGAGAAGTGAAGGAATTGAACTAGCCTTGGCTTGAATCCTAACTTTCTCACTTACTAGCTGTATTATATTGGGTATATAACTTTCCTAGGCCTTGATTACTTTAATCTCTTAAAATACCTACCCAGAAGAAAAATTCAAAGGCATCATTACTGTGAGATTCACAGGCCTAGTGAAATGGGCATTGGTTCAGAAGTCCTCTGAGATGCACAGTACCCTCCCGAGGAAAAGAGGACCAATGATGTGCTCTGGTTAGTGCTACAGCCAGGTAAGGGGGCTTTCTTGGGTAATGGATCTGGATGTCCTCTCCTTTAGCAGGGTGGCAATAAAAGGAGGAGTTTGGCAAACTTGAGGGTTAAAGTGGAGAACAACCGGGTTTCCAGTTACTCTCAGAAAGGAGTCAGACACAATAGATTAGAACTGAGGTTTCTGAGCCTTTGTAATTGTTACTTTTGCTGGTCACCTGGTCACCATTTCCTGTACTGAGTAGAAGAAATACAGTTCCTAAAGCAAAAATCTTTTTGCTGCCTTCAAGACCACAAGGAAGAAGCACTGTGGAGACTGTCCACTTTGTACCTAGTTTTGGGTCAGCAGAACGCAGGGATAAGATGAGTGTACCTTACAGAGGAAGCTGCCCTTCCCTGGGGCCTACTGCAAATAAGAGAAGAGCAAGTGGGCACCCCTGTCAGGACTCACATGCTGGGACTGAGAATCACAGTGAAGAGCACCGTATTAGCTAGACCAATGTCAATTCACCCTTCGACCAAGGGAGGTGGCTCACACCTGTAATCCCAGCATTCTGGGAGGCTGGGGGCGGATGGATTGCTTGAGCTTAGGAGTTTGAGAGCAGCCTAAGCAAAAATGAGATCCCATCTTTAAAAATAGCCATGTTTTGTAGTGGGTGCTTGTAGTCCCAGCTACTTGGGAGGGTGAGGTAAGAGGATTGCTCAAGCCCAGGAGTTTGAGGTTGCTGTGAGCTGTGATGCCACAGCACTCTACCCAGAGCCATGGAATAAGACTCTGTCTGAAAAAAAAGTTAGTTCCCTCCTAACTAGTTCTTCTACCTAATAGCTCAGCAGTGATACTGAGATGCAAATCCTCCAGAACCATTTGGAATCACAAATATAAATAATTTTATTTGGGGCAGGGCCCATCTAGAATACTATCATAACTCCAGTTTCCTCTAAGCTCCAAGCCCCACCGTATCATACCAGATCAGAGAAAAATATTTTAGCAGCTGTCAGACCCACCTTGGGAGCAGCCATCTGGAAGATCAACTTCTCAATGTGGATTTTTCCAGAGCTCTGGTCTGGAATGGATCTAATCACAAGCATGAAGTCATCCCTGCAGCCACCAAAGGTTGTCACTGAAGAGTAGGGGTAAGTGACGTGCACTTGCTGTGGAAGGGAGCCAGTTAGTTCTGGGGAAACTTTCCACCTATCCCCAGCATCCCCTGTCTCGTCAAGGCACAGATAGCCTTAACCAAGAAGGGAGAACTCTGAGGTGTCATAATTTGGAGATCACCATCTTGAATGTCCACAAGCTTTGTCTAGACTAGAGGATAGCAACTTGGGTAGGGATAGGGGAACCATAATCATTTATCTCAGGCCTTTGATTCTAGAGAGGAGAAGAAAAGACAAGTGTTCAGGAGGAGGAGGGGTCAGGGAGACATCCCTTATCCTCCCATACCATAGTGTTGTGGTCCAGGACGCTGACACCATCTTCATTCACCGCAATCCACACCAGAGAGTTTTCTTTGGGAGCCATTGGGGCAGGCTGAGAAAATAGGAAAATTCTATCAGACATATCTACAGTGAGAGATTCCCAACTAAAAAACTTTATGAGAGAGAAGCAAATCCAGGGATCTGAAGATTGTATTTGTACAGCATTCAGAGTAAACAGATAAGGTTGCTTGTGGCAGAAGGCATCTGGCCTTGGGGGTCTGGCCACCTACTAACCATCTCAAGGGTGGAAAGGATGACTCTTGTGGCACACCTAGAACCCACACTGCCGCAGTACACTAGATGGAAGTTCTGTGCCACAGAACATAAGCCACCCCTGCCTCCTCTGTCATGGACATAGGGAATAGGCTTTTTCCCAGTTCTCAGAAACATAGTATTCCACCTAGTCTCTCGGCTGACATGCATGTGGCCTCAACCAGTTTCCTAGGGACTATAAAAGAAATAGGAAAGCAGCAATGCTATCTTGGCAGGGCACGGTGACTCACGCCCATAATCCTAGCATTCTGGGATGCTAAAGTGGGAGGATTACTTGTGCTCAGGAGTTTGGCACCAACCTGAGCAAAAATAAAAGAAACTCTATCTCCACTAGAGAAAAATAAAAGAAATACACTCTTACAGTCTTTAGCCCTACCAGTAAGAAAGTGACCACTTAGTGGATGTATCCTGCAATGACTAAATTTTCAGTGGCCAGGCTACAGTAGGTAATCCAGAAGATCTATCTCGCCTACCCAAGAGGAAGACAGATGAACATGTCACCTTTTCCAGAAGCTTTTCCCAACCTCCCACCACTTCCAAGACCAAGACTTTCCAAGACTTTCATTTTATGTCTTTATAACAACCTTGTACTCTTCCTTCACTGTACTTGTGACAGCTTATGAAAAAATTTTATATATATACACATGTATATATAGAGAGAATGAATATGCATATGCTTATTTGATGAATGTGTATCTCCCCCGCTAGACAGGAAGCTCTGTGAAGGCAAGGACTGAGTCTGATTTGCTTACTTCTCACAACCTCTAACAACCAGCATTGGAAATAGCAGAAGCTAGCGCAACAACTATTTATTGAATGAACAAGTGAATGTCCATTTTCTCATTGGTAGCTTTAGTGACAGGATCACCATCTAGCTTTGAGCACAGGGAACTGCCTGTGATTATCTACAAAGTTCATGTACACCAGATACCCAGTGAAGAAAAGTTCCCACTGAAACTACTCCTGGCCACCTAGCTTTCACCAGTACCTGAGTGGCGTGATTCCCACGTGCCATGCCACACCAGGGGAGGTGTATTTGTTTAGGTTACACACTGTTCTATCTTCCAGACTTTTTTTTTTTTTTTTTTTGAGACGGAGCCTCAAGCTGTCCCCCCTGGGTAGAGTGCCATGGCATCACGCTCACAGCAACCTCCAACTCCTGGGC